CCCAGGAGCACTTTCATCGTCAATAATTATTTAGCCCTTGGTTCATTGAACAAATGTTTATTGAGCACCCACTGTATCCCAGACACAATCTTAGGGGTCTGAGACTACAGCCCCCAAAGAGCCCTGWCAGCACAGAGCCATGGTGTAAAGGTATTAAAAAAAGACATAAGTAAAAGTTTGAAACAGATTCTATTCAACTCCTCATTAGGCATCTATGAAGTTCAAGACACTGTGTTCATCTCAGGTCAGCGGTGACTTGATCTTGCAGGGAAGTGTGGCCTGTTTTTCAGGACAGCTGTAGGGTCTTTACATTCACCTTCCAACATAAAGAGTAATGAAGCTGTTGCCAGTGCTTCCCTTCGTACTCATTAAGCTTCCTCCGTGTTAAGGATTATGTGAAAAACAAAATTTTATAGACAGCGTACATCAGGGTGATATGATTAAAATGCAAGCCACACATCAAGTTCCACCTACTCTGATCATTTGCTTTCCCAGGCATGTAAATGACGCACAGCTAAGTGCCCAAGAGCACAGGAAACTGGCTTCCAGGGCACTGAGAGAGCAGGGTTATCACAATCTAGGATACAACCCTTTCCTTTAAACTCAGGTGAAGCTCACAGAACAACAACAACAAATAATAATAATAATAATCAATTTCAAGTGTACAATTCATAAATAATAATCAATTTCAAGTGTACAATTCGGTTTCATTTAGTACATTCACAAAACTGTACATTCAACACATCTATTAAGTTCCAGAACATTTCCACCATCACCAAAGAAATTCTGCGACCATTAAGCTATCATTCCCCATTCCTTCCTCCCTGCAGCCCTGGCAACCACCAATCTGCTTTTTGTGTGTGTGAATTTGCCTCCTCTGGACATTTCAAATAACTGGAATAGTACAGTCTGTGACCTTCTGAATCTGCTTCTTTCACTTCGCATAATGTTCTCAAGGTCCATGTTGTAACATAAATTTGTGTTTCCTTTCTTTTATGCCTGGATAATATTCCTCATGTCCATATTCCACATTTCATTTATCTGTATACCTGTTGATGCACCTGCAAAGGTACTAAAAAGCATTGAACCCTACACTTAAAATGGGCAAATGTTATAAAGGTCTATAAAGGATGGAGTCATTAGAACCATACCTGCATAGAGGCAGAAAAATATTCAGCATTATTCTTTTACTTTATGAATCACTAACAATTTTTAAAGTCCATATAAATTTTTAAGTTATTCTTGTAAAAGCAGAATTGCAACCTAAAAATACAGCTCCCTAGAAACTACCTCCCTCCCCGCCCCGACAACACTAATTCACCTAGCTAGAGTGGGCTTGGCCATCTGGATTTATTTTTCAACCTCTCAAGGTTACTATCAGAAAAAGTCAAGTTTGAGAGTCACTGATGTAAAGCCAAATGAAGACTAAAACAGGTAAGGTCTCTTACTTCTCACTTTATTTTATTCATCTTACCACTGGTCATTAGGATCTGTCATAGTGAAAATTTACACATGTATTAACTCTTTTAATAATCTTGAAATTATAATGCTTTAGTTTCCAAATTATCTCCACAATTGACTTTTACATTGAGAAAAGATTTGTTAATTTATAATTCAATAGATGTGGATCCAATTCTGATTCATCTAACAAGGAAACTGAGGCAAAGGTAGGTCATTTGCTGGTTTTTTAATATTTATTTTTTTAGTTGTAGTTGGACACAACAATTTTATTTATTTATTTTTATGTGGTGCTGAGGATCAAACCCAGGGCCTCACGCATAGTAGGTGAGTGCTCTACCGCTGAGCCACAATCCCAGCCCAATCTTCTTGCTTTTAACCTTAAAAAAAAATTTTAAATTTAACTGGGAAGAGATATGGAATTTGGATTCATGCCCCAGAAATTTAAAATATTCTGTTCAATGAGAAGGTAGTACAGTACAATGGCTAAGGGCATGAACTTGGAGTCAGATGGATCTGTTTACATTCGGTCTCCATTAATAATCAAATATGAGACACTGTCCACATTGCTGGACCACGTCAATCCTTAGTTTCTTCATAAATCAAGTGAGGATTAAAAGAACCTGACCCAAGAGGGTCTAAAAAAGACGGAATGAGCTAACATGTATGCCAAGTGCTTAGTCTAGTACCCCACACACAGTAACCCCTCCAGATGCAGCCTTCAAGATGAAGCCAGGTCCAGTGGTCAGAGGTTTGCTTAGACAAATTGCAGAAGTGATTTCTTAACCACAGCCAGATCTACCAGAGTCATGTTCTGCCTTGGAGCACATTCACACAGTTACAGCTCAAGATCTGGTGCAGGCCCAACCCCCAGTTTGATCTCTACCCTGGATTTATTTTGGAAACATTCAACACTGTCCAGACAAAAATCACAACATCCTGTGTTTCACGCTGCTGGGGCTACCATTTTGCAAGAAAAATAACAGCTGAGCTCAAAAAGATAGGAATGAGGAACAGCAACAAGGGAATCACTCCACTGCACCTGGCTCTGAGATGCACTTGTGAAACCACCACGTTCTGGAAGGCAAAGTATCTGCATGGGTATGAAGAGCTAAAAAAACAATTTTTTWAAAAAAAATAAACAGATCCCAAGAGATCAATGGTCTGGAAAAACTCCTGAATTCTAACAGGGCCTGAACATAAACAGTGAGCAATGTTTTAAACAACAACTGTAATTCATTAACCCCTCCAAGAATTACACACGTACAAATACCACAACATGTACACACACACACACACACACACACACACACATGCATGCGCATATACACCACAACACATCCATACACACACCACATTCATACACACATGTACACACATATGCAGCACAACACGTACACACACACATGCACACAACATGTGCGCACATACACATATACATTACAAAATGTACACAGCTATGAAGAATCACAGTGGTTCAGAAAATTAGGCAAAAACACACTTTGCTGACTAGCACAACTTCCCTCAGAATCTCCTACAGACACATTCACTGACCCTGTGTCACCCAGAGCACTTCAGATACTCCGCTCCCTGTACAAGATCCTACCAACTCAGAGAGTTGTCTTCCCCCTAAAAAAATGCTTCTGTCATTTGGCCCTCTAAGTTATGATTAGAGAAATGAAATTTTAAAACATTCCTGGCTATTTGTTTGTTTTTTCTTCTCTGATTTGAACACTCAGTGATGTGCTATGTAAAAGGCACTGGGTTAAATCCCTCAAGGAGATGCACAGGCCTGCTCCAAGCCACCTATGAGCTTTAACAGGGGGGTAAGATGTGCAGAGAATGATAGTAAATATAAGGTGATCATAATAATGACAACAACAACAATCCAGTTACCAAGCTCTACTCTGGACCAGAGGCTGTACATACACTGCACCTCGCCATGGCCCACCGTATGGGTRTGCAAGCTGGCTTCCAGGGGTGCCATAGAGTCAAACCTGAACTAAAATCCACTAACTACATGTCTACCACCAACATGACGAGAATGACTGCTGTATCTCAATCCATTTCTGAATGCCAGAGACCCTGGCAATGGCTTTGCTGTATCTGTGGGTGTCAAGTTCAGGGTTTGGAGTCAACACACAACAAGGACCTGAGTCTCCCAGAGCCAGGGAATGCACAGTCCCTGAGGGTGCATGACTTCTCAATATAAAGTCTTTAAACTGTGGGCTGGGGTGGGGAACGTACTTCCCTTCTGTTTGTTCTTCCATATACCAGCTCTAGGCCTTAAATAATTTTGAAAAATGTTAAATGCCTATATTCTTTTATTCCACTTATCTAGTCATTTCTCTTCTTACCCTCCAATGTCATTCACAATTTTCAATGTCATGACTTCCTGAAATCGTGTCATTCCAAATCTGTTAAAAAATTTTTTAATATATCTATCTCATCATCCAATTTGACAATAAACTTTACTGATATATTAACTACAGAGCTCAATGCAAGTAAATATCTAACATAGACTAATTTGTTGTAATTAATAGTGATTAAAATTAGACAATAATGATTCATAATATTTTCAATAAATGAAATGCATTTTCAAAAATAAGAATTTAAGAAGAACCTACACTGAATGATCCTGCTAATGAAATTGTCACCTACAGAACACATTTTTCATTATTTAATTGTAAAAAAATATATAATTGAATGATTAAAAATAGATTTTTAAAAACAACCCTAYAATCCCATGTTCCTAACATAAAACTATTGTTTTTATAAAACTTTCTATTCAACTTTTATTTAATACAACTAACATATTCTACAATATGCACAATTTTGCATGTATAATTTTTTTTTCCTTTTTTCTTTTTCTTTTTTTTTTTTTTTTTTTTTTTTGGTGCTAGGGATTGAACCCAGAGGTACTTTACCACTGAGCCATATCCCCATCCCTTTTGATGATGTGACAGGATCTCACTAAGCTGCTTAGGACCTCGATAAATTGTTGAGGCTGGCCTTGAACTTGTGATCCTCCTGCCTAAGCCTCCAGAATTTCTGGGGTTAAGGTACACATCACCATGCCCAGAGGTGCTTATAAATTTATATGTACAGTTTTTTCTTTTCTCCCATCTCATGCTGAATCGTGATTAGCATCGTATTATACTAATATCTTCTTATCATTGAATATTTAGGCTGATGAAATGTTTTTGCTACAATAAATGTTACCACACAGATTCCTGCATGTGATTATGCCCAATAAAATCTTAGATGTTTTACTTAGCATAGATTCCCAAGAGTGGGATTATTGTGTCAAAAAAAAAAAAAACAAACTTAAAACATCTTTTAATTTCCCGATAGAGACCACAGATCCTTAAAAAATAAAATGTACCAGCCATTGTCTTTGTTTTATTGCTATCTTTCCAATTTCCACAAAAATTCAAGACTTTGAGGAAGGGGTGCCATTCCTTCTCCAGACTTCTGTAGTGCCTAGTGGCAGCTCTGAGTTGACCCAGAAGATTTGAGCACAACCAGCAATTGTTACTCACCTTCCCCTCTCCCACTGCCCTTCTGCCTGCTGTTGTGAAGTGGGGGCACCTCCAAGGACGTGATGCCTGACCTCTCCAGAACATTCACTTCCACGTTCAGTCTCCCAACCAGCTGCTGGGGTCGCACACTGATGACGTGCTCATACTTCCCAAGCCTTCTCTGCAGAAGTTCTTCATAACTCAGGAGGAAGATGGCTTTGTCCTTGCTGGGAATCACTAGAGAAGCTCTGAACATATCAGCCCCCTTCTCCCTGTCAGGAAGGAAAATGAGGCCACAGGTAGGGTTCAGAATAGAAAAAGCCAGGTTTCCTCAATTCCCTCAGGACACCCGCCATACTCTTTTAATCAGGATGCCAAGAAGACCAGTGGGCACAGCAGGGTGAGTYCTTATACTGGAAAAATAAAAATGAGTCTTAAAAGAAGTTGAAGACTTGCCCAAAGGAAGGTTACCAAGGACAAACAAATCCTGAATAGAAGGGAATTCAAAAACTGACCTTTCCTACCTCTACCAGAGACAGACCTAAGCGGGCAAAGAGAAAGGGGACCTTTGAGTAGATAAACCACTACAAGGAGGAGCTTTTGGAGTCAAGTTGTGAATTTCACTGCTCTCTCTACAAGGATGGACAAATTAATTCATAATTAGTTTTTTTCGCTTTGATAAAGTTTGGTGGATGTGTTTAAGGCAAAATAAAGGACTGCAAAGTTTGTAAAAATACGAACTAATCCAAATTCTTTCAGTACTCGGAGTGAGGGTTCTCTGATTCAAGATGGCGGGTTGACCACCAGAGGATGGAGAGCAGGAGAGGTGAGTAGATAACGTATTTCAGAAGACTTGGGAGATTCAGTATAGAGTAAGGATTCTATAGCTCAGGACATACTGGAAGGGGCTGCACTAAAGGAAAAAAAGCAAAGATTTTGTTTGGCATAATCTCAGAGAGACTGCTGACTTTGAGTTCAAGAGAACCCAAGAGGATAAGACTAAGAAAGGGGATCAAATAAAGGGGAAATAATTCTAATTCATATAAGAATGAATGAATAAGCCGATAGACTTCTTGTACTCCTATTTCCCAGAGGTGAAAAGAGACAGAAATACGGAGATAGAAAAGTTCCACTGAACACTGGGCAGAATGAACAGAAAAGGATTGATAGCTAAACCCATTATGGTAAAATATCAGACTACCAGACAAAATGTTAAAGCAATGATACTAGATCACACCAAAGACAACAGCAATGATACTAGATGTTGAAGGCCTTGAAGCAATACCCCAGAGCTCAAAATGAAAATCACTGTGACCTTTGATTCCATACAATATTATAAAATATTACGAAGGCTCAGAAAATCTATCGCTCACACACTCATTCTGAGGAAGTTACTTCAGAATATATTTCAGCAAAGTAAAGGTGAAAACCAAGAAAGAAAAAAAATATTGGAATCCAAGAAATCACAAAACCAACCCACAAAAAAAATGAAAAGTGATTCCAGGGTAAATGTTTTGTAATGAGGCCGCAAAAGGAATAACAATATCCATGGATCTGGAGACAGCCATGTTTTCACAGCATGTTTTAAYGGTTCTGAAATCGGAATGCCTCCCAATCAGTGATGTCTTCCAGTTGCTGTTGGCCAGGCTTCTGGATGATGTAGATGTCATTGCTTCCATAAACTTGGTTACGGCTATTCATTTTGTCCTCATTTCAAATGAATTATGTGTCTTGCTCAAYGTTAATAGTAACAAAATTAAGTTCTCTCTCATAAGAGGAAGGCAATTAGAAACTCCAGGAAAAAAAAAGAACAAAAACAGAAACTTGTATGTTATGATCCAACTAAAGTAAGCTGTGGCTGACTCTGAACAAAATTGATAAAGACAACCTGGGAAGCAGCTGCAGAATACAAAGTGAGGTTTAATAATTTGCTGCAGCAAGACAGACCACATACCAGAGGCACTGYGAGGCATCTCACCAAACAAAGGCAGAAACTGGGTTATTATGGGATTGGGGGAAGGGTAGAGTGCAGGTAAAAAATCAATGAAGCCAAGTTTGGACAGGCACCAAGCAAAGGAGGGGTGCTTGTGAGGCCATTAACRTCAGCATGGACTCAGAAGGAGACCCAAAGTTCTGTGTCCTTGGAAACTGTAACTTTTTTAAGATAAACGTGGAATTCTGCATGTGAAAATGCCTTATCWGAAGCTCTGAACCTCATTTGCTTTCAGTATCAAAATGACTTAGGTCTTTTAGACCAGAGCAAAATGTTCCATTCTTACAAACTGACTACAAAGGTTCTGACGGTCTTTGATTTTAAAGAACTAACTTTCTCAAAGCTGTGTCCTTTTATTAATGAGGAAAAAAAAAATCACGCTTACAAGTTTAGGCCATTTTAATCTAGGTWCTTAGATCATTTCTCTGCAAAGGGAACAGAGGCCTTCACATTTGTCTGGTTGAGGGGGGAAATGTAATCTTATTAGTGTAGGCTGTTCTTCTGTTAATGTAGTTGATATAGTAATTGAAAGGCAAAGGCTATTTATTAGCTTTCAATAAATAGCTRATTTTCAATAAATACTTGTTTCCAAGTTTACAAAGAATACAAGTATCATTATAGATMAGAATTTAAACGTTAATGACATTAATGAAAATGTAACAAGTCAATGATTATGTGACAAAAGATGAGTTCAAGAAATGAATAAAGAGAGGTAGACTGAAGGGTAAGAAAAGGAATGTCATCATTTAGGAAGCAGCRACAGGGATGGGAATGTAGCTCAGTGCTCCCCCTGGGATGCATGATGTCCTGGGGTCAATCCCCACATAAAGATAGGAGGGAACGTCTAGGGGGGTGGAAACACTTCATCAGCAGCAGAAKAAAGAAAATAATAATATGGAAATGTTGAACGTAAAGAGAAAGTAGGACTGTTGTAAATTTGCTAAATCCTCCTTCTTCAGATAGTGTCTTTATTTTTATTAAGAAATCAAGAAAAAGCAACACTATCGTACACTTTAGAGTTAGGAGGTAACTACAAAGAAAACTCAGCACAGAAATATTAGAAGCAGATGTTCTAGGAAGTAAAAACCAAGGAACGGTGTAATAAAGTTATCTTTTTTATTACCAGTGTTCATCTACTATATTGTTAATCATGTGTACTTATTACTTCGATTAAAAAAAGAAAAAATATTTGGAAGACAGCAGGAAATAGACCAAGGGGTAGAAAACTTGACACTGTAGAACCGGATTTTTAATTCCTAATTAAACAATACTTACTCATTTTCTTCTGTGGTTGTATTCCTTTTCTCTTTTACCCTATCACCATTTTTCTTTTCTTTTTCTGTAATTTCACCCTGATACACCTTTTCTCCAATWATCCTGAAACATGAGAGACAGCTATGTTACCAGCTTGCAGTTCCAAGACAGACTCAAACATGGTTCTCAGAACCATGACAACCCTAGAAAATATTTTTATTTGCCTCTTAGATATTCAGATTAAATGCATTCCAGACGAGGGCATTAGCCTTAAACCACTCATTTCAATCAAGGGCAATTTTCAAAAGACCCAACCCAGGGTGTCTCTGATTCTCCAGGAGAAAATCATAACTGCTCAAACGTCCATGAAGATTCACCAACTTGATTCTTGCCCAGACCAAAATTAAACCCAACGCTTCCCCTGTTTTGCCATTTTTTACCTCTTGAGTCAGAAAACAACCTCAGCTAGTATGTCAGAGGTTTCCTACTGTCTCATTCAGGTCTCAGTCTAACCATGGCCCCTCTCACCTCCCTCCCTCATTTCCCTTCCTAAGGAAGCCCCTCTCAATCTTATTTGCCATCTTTAGACTACAACAATTCGCCACGGCCCAAGATGATGTCATTGACTGTTTATTTACTTGTTAATGGACTATTTCTCCCAGCTGGAATTTCTGGAGCAAGCAACATTGGCTTTTTTTTAGAAGTAAATCAATCACCCCTAAGACAGCCTGGCCCAGAGTGGACCAGGAGGGGGAAAGGGTGGGAAAGAAAGAGGAAGAAAAGGAAGGAGGGAAGGAAGGTAGAATGGAAGAGATGAAGGCAGTCAGGAAGGTGGGCAGGAAGGAACCAAAGAAGGAAAGAAGAAGGAGAACCAGCCCTCGGATCTAATGGGATGTAAATCCTTCCCCCACACAAATCTGGACCACCCCCACACAGAGCTCCATCTCTCGCCAGCATGCCACCTACATGGTGAAGTTGGTGATGAAAGCTGAAGCTGGAATCTGCATCTGGAACTCTGCATCCTGGTCCTCAGAAGCCCTGTTCAGCATCCTGCAGGAGACTGTAGTGAAGGCGTAACGAGAAATAATGGTGGACTTCACCGAGAATTCTGTCATCAAGGGCTTGGTTTTCTGTTGAAATTAAAACAACAGGATTCTTCCAGATGTATGGAAACATGGTGAAAACATTTTGGGGTAGATGTAGGCATTTTTCCATGAAGGGAAACAATATTCCATTTGAGAGCCTTTGGCATGTGATTCCTCCCTCTCTCCCTCTCTCTCTCTCTCTCTCTCTCTCTCTCTTTCCCTCTCACTCTCTCTCTCCCTCCCTCTCTCTCTCTCTCTCTCTTTCCCTCTCTCTCTCTCTCTCTCTCTCTCTCTCTCTCTCCCTCTCTCTCGTTGTCCCTATGTCCCCATTTTTAACTCACTTAATGTGTAAAAACAACCTTGACTGAATAATCAATTCACGACACAGAAGCAACAAGCAACTCTTTTAAACTAATCTGAACAAGAGAATATAGTGAAGATTTCCAACTTAACAGAAAAGACACATCGCTTCAATCAGAATTCATCGCTTATCAGAATCGCTTATCAGAATTTTAGAAATATGTAACATATTTAATACTTTCATCAACTTGGAGATCACATTTACAGGATCACCAGCTTGTAACATCAGAACATGCCTGAAGATTCTCACATTTTCAAATTCCTTTCAACATCCATTTAGAGACACTATCTGCAAGGGCTTCCCCATCTGGACTGTAATTGTGGTATTATAAAATAAGAATCAATACTAAACTCAAGAGAGCTTTTGGGGAATTTTCCTAGAAAAAAAAATCTAAGATTGTGCTAATTAAATTTATCCCTAAAGCTTCTGATAAGAGTAGTTGCTAACAATGCAGATTTAAGATCCCCCCCCAACTCCAGTAAAACTATTCACTGTTTTTTCTAGTCTCTGCAATAGTGCTATGTCTTAAGACAGTTGGCAGCAGAAACCCAAAGAAGGAAGGAAATATCCATGAGAAAAGGTGTTACTAAGAGGGATTCTCTAACCCCAGGAAYTGGCTGAGCAATTCACAAGTGTGTTATGAGCTGACTAGGTGCTGCCCTCAATTTATATGCGGAGACCCTAATCCCTAATGTGGTGATATTTGTAGGTGGCTCCTTTGAGAGGTAACCAAGGTTAGATTAGGTCATGAGTATAGGGCCTAGGGATGGATTAGTGCTCCTAGAAGAGGACACAGTGGAGAAGATGCCTCATACAAGGAGGAGACAGGATCTCTATTCCCTTCCTCTCTTTCTCTCTCTCCAAGTGCACACACCAAGAAAAGGCCATGATATAAGTGCACGGCAAGAAGTGGCCATTTACAAGCCATGATGAGAACCCTCACCATTGATGAAACCCTGCTAGATCTAGACTTTGATCTTGAAATTTCCAGTCTCCAGAAATATAAAAAAACAAATTCCTGCTGTGTAAGACATTCAGTCTATAGTTATGAAAGTCCAAGCAGACTAAGACATTGTGTAGTCTTGGGATAGACATGCAAAGGAGGTATTTTACTCTTGCTTTTATGGCAAAAACTTAAGCTTAATGAGGGAACATATTCGTCCAGACCAACAAGTAATAGAGATGACACTTGAACTGAATCCCACTTGCTCCAAAGTGCACCCCTGCTATCATCATGTGAGGCTGCCTGGCAGCTCTGTGTCGACSGGCCTACTCACCCTTGTGTGATCAAATCTCAGCCTGGTCTGTGACACACAGCAGGCCTCCATAAATGTTGAATGGAGTCAGCTTACTCTGATGGAACTGGACTCTGCTGTTGGGCAACATCTGAGCAATTCAATCCTCACCTGCTTTATTTACAGCCTAGCCTCACTTTCAAAATACATACAAGGGGGGCTGGGGATGTGGCTCAAGCGGTAGC